AATAAATTATAGGAAGATATAAATATACCATTTCGAAGTGTTTTATAAGTATATGTTAAAGTTAATGAGGTATTCCTAAAAGTAAACAAAGTATAAAATACATTTATTTACTTTTTAAGTTATAAAATAAAGTCAACGCAAACCAACGCAAGCCAATAAATATTATTAAATATATTTTAAATTATTACCTTTTATTTGATGTATTTTGATATAACAATAACAAAAATACGAAGATATAAATTTATTTCTTTTTGAAGAGTTTTGTATGAATTGTTTAGAGAAAGTAAAAGTGATTATTCTGAAAATAAACAAAAAAATATATAATTAAACAATAAGTCATATGAGATAACTGATCTTGTTGTACAAACAAAAAAAATTAACCTTTGAAAAGAATTTGAAATGATATGATAAACTTTAAAAGATATCAATGTCAATCAAAATACAGTGATATAAACTTCAAAAGATATTTGTTAATTGTTTAGTTATTCTGAAAATCTTTAACTATAATATATTAAATCATTAAAGGTTTTGAGAACATATTAATACTAATAAACTTTGAATCAATATGATATCTAATAAAATTATAACAATAATATAATTACGTTCAGTGAACATAAATACTAATCTTAATTGTTACGATAAATTTCGAAAGATATTGTTAACAATGTAATTTCGCTATGATAAACTTTGAAGGTTATTATTAACAGTGTAATGTCAATTAAAATTATTGCAATAAACTTCTGAAGGATATTGTTGACAGTGCAATGTTGATTAAAATTACTATGATAAACTTTAAAGAATATTATTGACAATACAGTATCGATTAAAATTGCTGTGATAAACTCTGAAAAATATTGTTAACAATATAATGTCAATTAAAATTGCTGCGATAAATTTTGAAGAATATCATTGACAGTGTAATGTTGATTGAAAATTGTAACAATATAAATACAAGTGATGACCATCGAAATGATATATTATGAATATCTAACATAAACAAAGGTTATTGATATAAAATTATTATGAAAACGATAATATTTGCAAAATTTCACATATGAAGATATCAAAATCAATAACCTTCAAAGGTTATCAATATGAATTTATTACGAAAACAATAATATTCGTAAAATTTCACATATGAAAATATCAAAATCAATAAATCTTTGAAAATTATCGATATGAATTTACTATAAAAATAATAATATTTGCAAAATTTCACCATGTGAAAATATCAAAATTGATAATCTTTGAAGGTTAATGAAGACCTTTGAAGAATAACATATCAAAAAATAGTAAAATACTTATGTTAACATTAATCTTCAAAGGTTTTCACTAAAAAAAATTTCCTGATGTAATTCTAATTTAAATTAATATGTTCTATGTATTATAATATTTTTATAATATATTAGTAGAACCCATTTGTAATGTAGGCTTGACTATACCTGCCACCCAAATTCAAAATCCAAATGCCGAAATCCCAAATGCCAAAATCCCAAATTCCAAATTCCAAATTATGATTAGTATTTTTTGCTGAAATCCCAAATCCTAAATCCCAAATACTAGTAATTTGGGATTTTGGCATCCCAAATCCCAAATGATTTGGAATTTGGGCAACACGTATAGGCTTGACCTAGTTGCTGTTAAATTTTTGATATATAATAGTAAGTAAATTCATTATTCACCATTAATAAATTTTAATAGGTAGATTTTTATTTCTAATGAAGGATGTTTTACGTTTTTCGATTTCGTTCGTAATTTACAAAGTATAGAACGATTTTTTATTAAAATATTTCTGAAATAGAAGGAAAGGCCTTATTCTTGGCTACAAAATGATATGTGTTTCATTCTGATAACATCAATATTCATGGAGTTATTGTAGTTTAAAGAAAAGTGCCTATGAAAAAATCATACGAAAAATTTTTTAGAGATTTTTGCATGAACATTCTTTTTTTTAACTAGAATAACTCTGCAAATATTGATGTTACCAGAATGAAACACATATCATTTTGTAGTCAAGAATAAGGCCTTTCTTTCTGTCTTAAAAATACCTTAGTAAAAGTGAGTAAAGTTAAAAAAACGTTAAAAAAAAGTAAAAATTTCTACTTTTTGAATTCACTTGTGATTTGTGAAGCATAGAGCAATTTTCTACTAAGGTATTTCTAAGATATAAAGAAAGGCCTTGTTCTTGGCTACAAAATAATATGTGTTTCATCCCGATAACATCAATATTTGTGGAATTATTTTGGTTTAAAGAAAAATGTCCATAAAAAAAATCATGTAAAAATCTCTAAAAAATTTTTCGTACAATTTTTTCACAGACGCTTTTCTTATAAAATCACTTTACACTTTGTAAATCACGAGCGAAGTTGAAAAACGTAAAAAAGCCTTCCATTAAAATTTCCTGATGACGGTTAAGGTGTAAAAAAAAAATAATTATGTAGTATTTTAGTTGTGAACAAATTATTATTAATTGATGAGATTACTTTGCAAGAAAAAATACAAGAATTCTTGAAGGCTTTGGATCCTATACATTTTTATGCTGAAGTATAAATCATATATTAAAGTTAAAAACCAAAAAATTAAATATGAATTGTATATTAAACACTTGTCTACAATTTAGATGTTAAATTATATATTATAAATTATTTAATTATAGATTGAAAATTTTGAATGCTTGATTAACGAAGCCTTTAATTTTTTGTATCCTAAAATCTTCAGTTTTTTGACATCTTTATACCAGCTAGTGCTATGAAACCAATATTGACTACCTTGTACTTCTAATGTGATTTGATATTTTTTAAAGAAGGCATCAAATTCTAATCCATTCAAGAAAGAAGGATAATACTTAATTATCGGTTCCTCATTTAGAATTTCCTCAACTATCTGAATGCATTTCGTTTGGAATTTACGATTTTTCTTAAACCTTAATTCTTTTTTGAATACCATTACATCTGTTTCAACTTTATAATGCTGACTAAAAGATCATTATCTGCATCTTCCAGCTTTTTAATTCTGGCAAAAAAATCATTATCTGTATCCTTTCCTTATTAGAAATTTTATACCCAAAACCTGGTTTTTGTTTTCTTAGTAAGTATAACATTTGAACCACCTTTGATATATTTATCATCTATCTTTTTTGATTCACGAATTGGTTCATATTTGTCTTTAATTTTTAATTTTAAAAGTTATCTTTTTGGTTCCGTTTGAAATTATTTCTAGATCAGGATTAATAAATTTTATTATTATTAGATACTCACCATTATCTATAATATTTAAGAATTTTCGAACTCGCTCTTCAGTCATTCCAGCTTGAATTCTCTTGTTTCTATTTTATATTCTACATTTCCTTCAAGTATATATCTCCTTTATTTTTTTCTTTATAAGCGTCTACTGTTAATTTTATTTTTTCATCAATCTTTTCTTCTGGAAAATTTAAATATACACATTGAAGAAATACTTTCACCATAACTTTTGTCTCATTTTTTGCTTCTAATAATACTTTAATTAAATCGAGTTCTTTTGCTCTCGTGAACCAAGTTGAGAAGGTATATTTAGCTTCATCTACCTTAAACATATCTTTCGCCATTTGTATACCATTTTGCCAAATTACACGATGCATTTCATCATTTGGAAATGGTTCTGGCCAAGGTACTTTTTTTATCTAAATCTAAAAATCTTTCCATTTCGGAAGAAGTATTATTTTTTTACTTGAGATGAATTAGAGGGTTGAGACTTTATCCCTTCTGATTCTGATGTGGATAATTCTTGAGGAATCAATTCTGGAACCGGATCGGGCGCAGGTTTATGACAAGGAATTTTATCACTAACGTAGTGCTGGTTAAGTTTTTGTGGAGTTGATAAAACTCTTCCACAACTTTTCACATGTACGGTTTTTTGAAGAGACATTATTAAAATATTAACGGTTATATAAATTATTTATAAAAATCCTTTGTTCAAAATAAATTTTTATTCATTAATTTCCTTTGTTACGGAAGAGCTGAGAAATAGCGCTTTAGGTTAAATTAAATCTCACTGTGAAACGGGCTGAAGACTAACGCTTAAAATTTAAAACCTTTTAATGTCGATAGCTATGTCAGAGGTTAGGGCCAGTTTAGCGTAATTTTAATTTTGAACACGTTCTAATACATATAGCCTTAACGATAGTGAAACTTTAAAATATTTTGATATTAACGACACCGATGTACGTTGTTTTTTAATTTTTAAACGAGATATGGACAAAATATTTAAAATAAGCTTTAAAAAAAGTTTACTCCTCAGGAACTATAACGTTATCTTGATTAAAATGCGCGCTAAAAACGTTTTTTTTTAAATATAAAAAAATCACAAAAAAATCGCATCTCAGTTTATATTTTCTAGAGCAATCAGAAAGTGAACCGACACACTACTCAAGTGAAAAATTTTTTCGAAGTGAGCAAAAAAACCGTTTCCTGCGTATATCAAAATAAGCTTTAAGCAAAGAAAAGCAGCAAAAAAAGCACGGGAACCACCCTAACCAAAAGTCCCTGCTGCTACGTGATGGATCCGACGTATATAGATTTGGATTGCTAGATACATAGATGCAGGATACCTGTCAATGATGGTTATTGTAACATATTGGAAGATGCATATTGTTATTGTATACTCAAGTTGCTTGAAGTTGATTGAAGTTGAGAGTTTTTACTTATGGTAATTTTCTAACAACTATCTAATCTATCTATCTGTCAAATATAGAAAAAGTTACTTGATACCAAAATATCTGTAAACAATTTATTTTTGAACAACACATAAGAGAAAGATGACAAATCGTATTGAAAAAAAAAAGCGGAATTAAATGTCAATCGCTCTCCTTAAAATAAAACATTTGATTTATAATATAGTTAAATTAGTGTCATATTACCATATCAATTATATCAATTATATCAAATTCAAATATGTATTATCTTAATAAATTGTCAAGTTCGGAAATTAATGATTTTACTTCTTTCAAATAAGAAAAGTGATACATATACAGTCAAGTCAACTATAAGACTTATACAATCATGAGTATATTATTTGATTATTAATTTCATATATTAATTATTATCATTTAATAAAAATTTTATATCTTATCTTAATAACTTAATTAATAGTTATGCCTATCAAAGATGATGAATTTTAAATTAAAAATATAATAATAAAAAATTGATACATATCAATATATTCATAGTGTTCATAATGTTCATTATTTAAAAAATATATATATACCTTTTAAATTCACTCTTGTATACATAATTCGTTCCAAGATATTTGAGGTTTCTTTGGTTTATTATTATTATTATTATTAATATTAGTTGAAGAATTATTGGAAGATATTATATTATGATTTTTCATTATGTCCTTTTTAAACTTTTGATTACTTCCTGTATGTAAAATGGTAGAATCAAAATTTGAAATTGAGAGACGTATAGAAGATGGATCATCGTTAGCAGCAGCAATTGGTGATGAATTAGCTGAAACAACTGTGGATGATGTTAATGGTGATTCGGGAATATTTGAATGAATTAAAATTGGTTCTTCATTATGACGCGTAAGTTTTTGTAAACTCTTTTCTACTAATTTCACTTGTTCCAAACTTAATTCTCGAAGTCGTATTGGATCATTATCATAACGTTTTGGATATACCTAATAATAATAATAATAATAATAATAATAATAATAATAATAATAATAATGTTATATATTGTTATATATTATTTATTTGTTATATATTATATATTATTTATTTATTATTTATTTATTTACCGGTGTTTTCTTGTATGAATGTTTACTTGGAAAGGGTGGCATATATGAAGGAACATAACTTGGACGAAAACTAGAAGCAAATGATGATGATCTTCTTTGACGTTTATTCTTTGGTTCTTCGGTTGAACCTCCTCCTTCTTCTCTTTCTCCTCCTCCTCTTTCTTCTTCTTCTCTTTCTTCTTCTTCTTCACTTTCCACTATAATATCCTCTGGTACAAATTTTATTATTGTAGTAGAAGTTGATGTTGGTTTTAATATTGATGATAACTCCAATGCAAATTTATGGTAATTATCTTTTCCTGATAATAAAGATAACGCGTAATATAATAATATTAATTAAATATAAAATAAATGATAATGATAATACTGATAATAATAAATAAATAAATAAATAAATAATAATAATAATAATAATAATAATAGATATAATTAAAATAATATACTTCGCATTTTTTTCTTAAAACCTTCCAATGCTCCCGTCCGAATATTCCTATCTTTAAGAGATTTTTCTATGTCATGAATATTTGGTTGAGCTCTACAGGCTAACTCCGCATAAGCTCGCGATGTTTGTATTAAGTTACTAAGGACTAATATTTTTTAATTCTATTTATTATTTTTTTTTAATATTCATTACTGCAAAAAAAAAATTTTAATTGAATAAATTGAGTCTTTCTACTCAGTACACATCTATATATGTACGTACATAACTTTGTCAAATTTCCCAAAGCTTCATAAGCTGTAGGTGTTACGTTAGTAAAACCTGCTTCTTGGGCAAAAAACGCGCCAACTTTTTTACCTATTTCATTTGCTACTTTAGAATCTACAAGGTGTGAATATTTAATATCACTCATTTTCTGGTTTTTTTTTTTTTTTAACTTTATTTGTAAGTAAAGAATTACAAAGTTAACGTGTACATATTATTCACGTTCATTATTTGTTATTATTATTATTACCCAAATTAGAAATTTAGAAATTTAACACAAGTTTTATAGTTTTATAGAAATTTGGTCTTTTGGATCTTTTTGAAATGGATTCACTACTTTCAGGTAGTTGTTTTATTAAAAAAAAATCCCTTTTATAAAAAAAACTTAATATTCTAATAATTCAATCAAGCACCCAGCTCTACCGAAGTAACAGTTGCAGAAGTTGACGGAAAATTAAGTAAGGTTTCACTCTTTGATATACTTTATATTCACAATGTTTTAACTATTTTTAACTCATTATCATTATATGTCTTTTCATAGTACAATTGAGAAATGCATCAGACCCAAACATCGATCTTTATGTCCGCGCTGAAGTAAAGATATACCATAAAAATTAAATCAAACCAAAAATGAGAATAAATTTGTAATTTTTATTTTTTTCCATTCGGAATAGGGAGTTTTATTTCAGCATTTACAAATGCCCGCCAATCTTATACATCCTGATATTAGTCGAATTACTGTCAAAGATTTACCATCACAAAAATCATTATACGGTATATTACATAATGGTTTTATGATGTTAATGTATGATTTAATTTTATTAATTAATTAATTAATTATTTATTTATTTGTTATTATTATTATTATTATTAATATTTATAATTTTATATAAATAATATAAATAATAGGGAAACTTTTTATGGAATTCAAAATTTAGTACAATCATTAGGACAATCTTTTCCCTCAAATTTTATATCTAACGCTATATTCAATACGGATACTCAATGTTATGTACTTTCATTAGAAGAAGAATTAAAAGAATATCCAGCAAATTTATTAGCTTGGCATCCATATGTATCAATATTTGCTATAGCTCATAAAGATGATGCAATTTTTTTATATGATTTACGTACAGAAACTTGGTTTCCGGAAATTTTAGAAAATGAATTATTACAAAAAGATATTACTTGTATGTCATGGAAACCTTTAGGTGGAAATATTTTAGCGGTTGGTTGTAAAAATGGAATTTGTTTATGGGAGATATCACTTGAACAAAAGAAAGTTTCAAAAAATGGTCCATTTAGATTTGATGCTTGGATGCGTTATATTAATTATCCTGGACACGAAAATATAGTTTCACTTGATTGGAACCCACATGGATCATATCCTTTATTATTGATTATTTGATTATTGATTATTTTATTATTGATTATTTTATTAGATTTATTATTTATTATTATTTTTTATTCATCTTTAACTTCTTTTAACTTTTTGAATTATTACTTATTTGGCCAGTGGATCAGCTGATGGTTCAATAATATTATGGAATACTTCATCCGGAAATGGAACGATTCTAACAACGAATCGTAAAGTCGCATTTTTGAGTTGGAGTCCTATTGGAGAAATTTTATTTTCTTCCTCTTTGTAAGATAATGATGATGATGATTATTATTATTATTATTATTTTTATTATTTTTATTATTTTTATTATTTTTATTATTTTTAATAATAATAATAATAATAATATTATTATTATTATTATTATTACGATTACATATATCATTTAATAATTTAATCATTTAATCATTTAATCATTTAATTAGAGATGGGAAAATTGAAATATGGGAAACTCAAAGATGGACTTCGAAAATTATAAATGCTCCAACTCCATTTCGACGTCCTGTTCAAGTAATTAATTGAAAAAAAATTTTTTTTTTTTTGTTCATTGTATTAATTATTATATTATCCGTCCGTTACATTAAGTTATATTAAAAGGTATTTCATCTTTTCTACTTCGCTCGTTAGACGGCTTGTTGGACTAAAGATGGTCGTGTTTTATTCTTATCATTTTGTGAAGATCAATGTATTCGTTCCCTTTCAATAACTCCAAATTTAGATGTTGAATGGCTTCCTGAAGAATATATTTCATTTAGTATCGAATGGTAATTTTTTATTAAATACTGGTGATTCGAAAAATGTAACAAAGTTTCATTAATTTGTGATATTATTATTTTAGTGCTGGAAGAACAGTGAAACAATTAGCAATTGATCCAACCGGTGAACGACTTGTAGTATGTTTTAAAGATACACCATTATTAGTAGTATTTCATGCAAAACAACCGTCATTAGTACCAAGGGGTTCAAATTTATTGAGTGGTCAAGGTATAGTGAGAGGTCCTAAATGGCGTGAACCAGGAGAAGGAGATACTACAGGAGAAACATTTTTTATGAATAAACCTGATCCCAAAGCAGTATCAATAAACTTTGCGAAACATTTTATGAAAGGCGCATTATTAAGTTTGGTTTGTAATAAAAATATATTAATTATATATTATTTTCCGTATTTTTTTCAGTATCTTTTCAGATTGTTTTATTCAAATTATTTTTTTAATAAATTTAGATATGGGAAGATGGTCAAATATCATTTTTACCATTTTATTTTCGTCCAACAACTGGAAAATAAAAAAAACAAGTCAATTATTGATTTAATTTGATTAATCTGTTAAAAAATAGAGCTCATTAAAAAAAAAAAAAGATTATATCAAAAAGAACAATAAAATTATGTTCAACGTTACATAATATTTATAATACTTAAGTTTAATAACTTATTTTTAATTAAAATATACAGTAAGAATATATACTAATCTATTCTGTATATACATTTACTAATATATATTTATATACATATAATATATATAACAACAAATTTCTAATGACCTAATAAAAAGTTGATAAGAGTTTGGTGAGAGTTGTTAATAATTAATTAAATAATTAAATTAAATAATTAATTAAATATTGAAATTAAATAATTAATTAAATATTGAAATTAAATAACTAATTAAAATATTGAAAATTAAAAATTTTGAAATTAAAATAATTAATTAATTATCATCAAAAATTCATTAAGTCAAATTTAAACTATTCTATATACGCAATATACACAGGTAAACTCGATAAGTTCATCACTCAAAATTTTCTCATTTTTTATTCAGTTAACGCGTAAAATTGATTTATTGAGATTATTAAAGTAATAGATAAGCTGACTTAATTGGTTATTGTTCGACTTATCATATGAATCCAACTTATTTTAATGAGACTTTATTGAGAAAAGTTGTATTGAAACTTATCGAGTTTACCTTTGCATTTGGAAAAATCACATGCTTTGAGTGGTTTTATCGCTCGTGATTTCTTTTATCATGTGATTTAAAACGTTTGATCCGAAATTAATGTAGGTTCACTATTAAAGTAAATATATATTAATTCTATTAATTCTTAAGTTAATTATAAGATATCGGTAAATTTATTACAATTATGATGTTTACCATCTCCCAGTGCAAGATAAACAAATTGGGAAAATATATATATACACACACACTCATATATATATATATATTATTATTATTAATATTATTAATATTATTATTATTTACAACAAAAAAAGAAAAGAAATAATTAATTTATAACAATAAACAATAGAATTAGATTCCAATTTATTACATAATTATAATCATCAACTTATCAAAGGGAACGTACTGAAAAGTTATATTGTCCAGACGCGTGCATATCTTGTATGCATAATCTCGTATGTATGTCTCGTATGTATATCTCGTACGTATATCTTGTGTGTATATCTTTGTTATTATCTAATCCCCCCAAAAAAATGAAAAAAAAACTCATTCCCTCCCATTCCCATAAAAGAACGTCAAATATAGTTTTAGTATTTACAAGAGAAGGCTATGACTGTACAATCATCATAACGTCCTTGATCCTTTTCAAATATATCCAAAGTATCCTTCGTTCGATCACATAATGCTCCAGAAAGATCATGAAGTTGTTCTCCATTTAACATATTCTGCATTGGATCCGAGGGAATCGGATTACATTTTTTTGATTTATGACGATGTCCGTCACGTTCATCATCTGTAGATTCTCCAACCATATAATCCGAGTCTTCACAACTTGTCAATAATCCCAAATATCTAGCAAGTTTTCGAATAAATTCTGGCATCTTGACATTCATATGATCCCATAATCCATCAGGTGCCATAACACCAATATAGTCCACTCCCGATTCCATAATCAAGAAATCAACATCCGCCTCACATGGAAATAATGGAGGATCAAGTTTGAAAAACAAGTCTCCCATCGTATCACCAAGATTAAGAGAAATGTCATTTGTTAAACCAAAAGGGTTTTGGAAATCTGGTGGTCTATAGATACGAGCTTTCTGCAAGCTGGAATACATTTTTAATTGAGATGGGGATGAATCATTCGGAAAATTTGGCGGGCTGATTTTAGTTTTGATAATCTTTTCATTTTCTTCGCGACGGAATACTCCCCCATTACTATAAACGTGATATGCTTTGTTCGGGTGACCTGGTGATTGAATTGTAGACTGATATGCCAGTTCAAGAGGAACTCTACCAGCACTTTTTTGTGGCATTGTTTTGCATATAACTGTTTTCGAATCTCCGAGATTGCAAATGATTGCAATACCATCAAATAATATAACAATGAGTAAAGTTGACCCTTGATCAGTTGGCATTGGGTCTGACTGTCCGTTTCTTATCCATTCAGAGAATTTACGCATTTGTGCATTTAAATAATCCCTATCAAGTTTTTTAAACATTTCACGTATTTTTTCGCGAAATAATTGTTGGTCACCTTGTTCTTTAAATGACCATAAAGGATTAGAACACAAAACTTCTTGAACGGCCTCTGGAACCATTCGACAAAAATGCCTAGATGCATGTGACCCTCCATGACCATCAGCTAATACGAAGAGTGTATAAGGTGTATCAGATGGATAATGAACCTTTTCGTTGGCCATATATGGTACATAATACGCATCTTCCATGTCTGCATGAGTGTTTATCGCGGCTTGTTCTGAACGACGTCCTCCAGTCTCCCAACCTTGCTGTTGTGACACACCAAAGAAAATAGACGCGCTCGAATTTTGTTTAAATTTGAGTGCCGTTTTTGGAATCTGGATGGGCTCACCTTGTTGCTTTAGACAATCGCGAGCTTTTCTTCCATTTTGTCGTGGTTTATCTTTTAAATTCTTTTTATTCTTATTATTAATTGGTTTTTTAGCAGATAAAGAAGGTTCTGTCGCGTCGTCGACGTCCATTGGAACAGTTTCCACGTTGTTTGACCCATTTGCTCCCGAAATTTGTTCCGATTGCTGCGCACGTATTACAGGTTCATTGGAATGCACAACTATTGCTGACCTTTTTCCATTGACGTAATAAATTAAATAAGTAAAAATTAGCAATAATAATATTACTTTAATTTGACGCCTTTTAATATATTCTAAATTACAACAAAACACTTTAACAACCTCTTTAAATTTACGATTTAGAACTATAGGAATACCTACCTATTCGATACTGCACTAAGTATAACCGACCTTTTTAGTGGTTCCTCGGAAGAATCTAATTCAGTATCTTTTTTGATACGCTTTAATTCAAGTCGAGCTGAGCGTCTGGTTGGTATGAAATTTATAGACAACTCTTTAGGCATTTTCTTATGAAGAAAAACTGGAGAAATGGTGTGAGTTTTTGTAATGGAGAGCTTAAATTATTGGTCTACTGCGGACTGGTATAATCAGGTAATTGCTATATCAAGATATCAATCATGTGAAATGTTGACCCAAATTACAATAATTCTTGCGTAACCTGGGATCGAGTTACACAATTTATGTTTTATTAATTTTACTTTTTCATATATCAAAAAGTCAAAATACCTATTTTATTTGGAACTAAATTTCTTGTGGTTTTGAAAAGATGAAATTATTTTTACTTAAACCTGAAATTTTTTGATCAAGTGGAATTATAACTATTCCAAACGTCATAAAATAATAAAAGAATTTACATTGTTTTTATATTCAATGGTAAAAGAAATTATATATATTTTTTTTTTTCATTTTTGAATTATATGTAATTCACAACTAATTTCGTGTATGAATTCTAACCATCCTAAGAATTACAAGATTGTATTTCTTCCACATTTTTAGATTATCTGTAAGGGGATATCAGAAATTAGATAATTCAAAAAGAAGCAAAAAAGTTTATAAAAGATAATAGATTATTATAAAACATGTGATTTTTAATATAAAATGTGTGATTTAATATAAAATTATAAATTCTAATTGTCCAGAGTATATCATAGGACTTTATATTTATATGTATAGTGAAGATTTGAACGATAATATTCCTTATTACTAAGTTTAAAGATAATAATCATGTAATAATTAATACATTCTATTAGTTTAAACTCATAATGGTTTCCATTTTCTAGTATATTAACTTTAAATACAAATACATGATAAACATCTAGATATTTCTGATTTTTGGAGATATTTTGTTTTTTTTGAGATTTACTTAGAATCTATTCTATATATATAAAAATAAAAAAAGTATCTAGTTAAGTATATCTTTAATCAAAGAATTTATTTGAGTAATTAAAAAATTTAAGGTTTTAAGTAAAATAATTTCATCTTCTGTGAAAAACTATTTTAACTTTTTTCTTCAAAATTGTGATTTCAGGATTTTAAAAATAATTTTATATACAAGTATAATTAATACCTTTATAAAAATCACATAATTTATAAGTAAAATTATTTATTAATAAATATTTAATGATGAAATATTAACTTTACATAGAAAATTTCAATTTTAATAAAACAATTATCAGAATATTTATTTTAATTAAATTAATTTTAACAAATATGTATAGTTGTTTTGTTAAAATTAAACTTTTTTATACAAAGTTAATGTTTATCAATAGATATTTATTATAATTTTTTATATTATATAGAATATTTGTTTTGATAATAAAAATCTAATAAGCTATAAATTATTAAAATTAAATTACATATAAATAAACTGAAGATCAATAGAAAGTATTTAATGAATTGAAAACTCATCTTACTTCTGCTTCAATTTTATCCTATCAAATTTTGAAAAAAATATTTTCTTTTTACTGATGCTTTCAATTTGACTTAAGTTATTTTATCACAAAAAGATTTAAATGAAATTATTCAATATATACAGTGGGGTATCAAAAGTCATGGGGCAAATAAAAATTAATAAAAAAATCATTAAAGTTAAAATGCTAATTGTGACACAACAGTTGATCTAAACTGCACAAACTTTTTTTTATTAGATTCCCCTAAATCAGGGCTATCATATGATATATTTTGTGTTAAAATTAAATGTCTATAAATAGAGAAATTACACTTTAAATAAAATTGACAAAAAATAAAAAATTTAATCTTTGAACGTTACCCATACCGGATTTGATGAATTTTAAAGATAGATGCCAACTATCATATATGAAATTGTAGCCAAGAACAATGTCTACAATTTTAATTAAAAGAATTTTTCATAGTATCTAGAAATAATTTTGACTTTAATTAGACGTGAATAAAATCGACCGAAATTTATTAAAAATTCTAAAAAAATAAAAAAAAATCTAAAAATAATTGTCTATGTTTTTACATATGAAAGTTTTTTTTTACTAAAGTACTAATAAAAACGATACTAAATAACATTTAAGTTGAGAATATAAAGCAAATTATGTGAAGTATTCAGACAAATTTAATTCAAATTGAGCGAATAATTAATAATTGAATTCTAGAGAATAATTTTTGAACGTCCGAAGTTTAACCGTTGATATTAAATTCAATTCGCAAGAATAAATTCTAAAAACTTCACAAAGGCTGCTATTTATTCTTGGATATAATATTAATTATCGACATACTTGATGTTTTATTAGTGAAAAATAAACTTTTATATGTAGTAATGTTCGACAATTATTTTCGGATTTTTTTTTAGATTTTTTAAAGATAAAATGATCGACATTGATTTTTTTAAAAATTCGAAAATAATTATAAAACGTTTCTACATATGAAATTTATTATTTACTAATAAAACATCAAATATTTTACTAATTAATCTTATAGCTATGAATGAGGATCATCGTTTGTAAAGTTTTTAGAATTTTTTCTTAAAAATTAAATTTAATATCAACGACTGAATACTGGACGTTCAAAAATTTTTCTTTGAAATTCAACTGCTCATTATTAGTTACAGTAGTAAATTTTTATTGCCACATTGATCAACATAATATGGAAAACTCAACTGCGCCATTTCCTTTTTATTAAAAATTGTTTCTTCGCGCATGATAAACACCTTTGAATTTCAGAATAAAATATATTTCAAACAATCTTTTCTTTTATCTTTAAAAAATAATAAAATGAAAGTATTAAATTTGTGACAGCTATTTCTTTGGTAAAACTTGAAAATTTCAAATTCTTCAATTGAAAAAAGTGACTATATTGTAAACAATTGTTTTTCATATGCATACTTGCTCATCTCCCGAGTTTTTGGATCAAATTATTCATACTTTAATTCTAATGTTAAAATTTTTTTGTAAAACATATTCTTAACATATATTTAAAAAAATCTAAAAATTTTTAAAAATCAGGTACATGTAATTCAGATGCGACTAAATAAATATACAAATAGATTAGAATTTTATTTATAATAAATAAAATTTATGAGAATATAATTGATATATACCAATACTTAAAGCACAAGTAGCTTTTGTTAATTCGTTAAGTTCCTTTTCAAAATTTTTATCATTCTTAGGTTTTGGAAGACTTGAATAATTGAGAAGTCTACTGGTATAAATTGCTTCCGGATGTGTTTTGTAATTCATTGGAGTTGGAGTTGTTGAATTTGTTAATGTTAAATATTTGGTCAAATTTTCGGAATTATCAATTTGAATTGTAATTTCATTATTATTTTTATAACTATTTTTCCAATAATTCTCACAATATTTCATCAATTCTTTACTCAATTCTTTAAAAATAGGTCGATGAGTAACTCTGGCATCCCAACATCTCATTATCATTTGTGTAATTAATTTAGGAGTATGGAATGGAATTTTTGGTCGTAATCCATCACATATTTTTCTAGCTAAATCTCTATCATGTGGGATGTCATAATATGGTGCAAAACCAGTAATTATCTCATAAGCTATAATACCAAACGAATAAACATCAGCTGCTGTGGTATATTCATCTCCACTTAATACTTCTGGATATATGTAGGGTAATACACCAAAGATATTTCTCTTTTCAGGTTTTTTTACATCACATTCTATTAACTTACTTAAACCAAAATCTGAGATACATAACGCTTGACTATCAAAGTTATCTAATAAAATATTTCCAGGATGAAAATCGTGATGAATTATATTTAATTCATGAATATTTTTGAAATCAGTTGCTAAATAGTGTAAATGACCTAATTTTTGTTTCAATTAATATTATTAAAATTATTTTTCAAAAAATCCCTAAGATTTCCACCATTCATATAATCTAAAACCAGAATATATTCGTTTGTTCCCGGATCTCGTGTAATTCCATAAATTCGAACTGAAGCATCTGTATACCTTGTTTTTAAATTAATCGTTATCTAATAATATATACATTTTTTAATTTATAAACAATCCATATAACTGAAATTAATAAATTTTTACCTCGTTTAAGTAATCTTCATTTAAACAAAATTATTATCAAACTTTTTTAATGCTACATCCTGCTGACTTTTTCTGTGCCACTGTTGATTTTCAACACACCATCTCCAAATTGGTCCATCAATCCCATTTAGCCTTGTATATTGTTCCAAAACCACCCTTTGCTATTTCTTTAATATCTTTAAATCTATCATAAGGTATCCATTCTATTACATCAAAATCTCTAGTTGCATTTACTTGGGCATCTTGAATAAGCTTATCTATTGTGTTATTTCCATTTGTCCATTTATCAAAATCATTTTGGAAATGTTTCGAGTTAAATGGTTCGTACCGACCATACATACTTTTATATACGTGACCCATTTTTTTGCTCACTTATAGCACGTGTAAGGTTCTTTAAAATGATAATAATAATAATAATAATAAAATAATAATTAATTTTTATTTGAATTCACGCTTAGATAAAAATTTCTTTGAAATTTAGGTATACAAAAAATCAAATCGCATTTGATATTTTATTATATATCCATTACAACAGCACAAAAATGCTATTTACATTGTACATAATTTCTTGGACCTCGGAGAGTATTTATAAAATAAATCTTTATTTCACGTTAACGTTATTAAGAATCAAGTATATAATACTTGCACAACATTACATTGTCATTTTAATATTAATTAAAAGAATCTATTTATAAATTTGACATATTATTACTAAATATAAGATAAGGGGGTTAATACAGAAATATAAAATTTTTATCTTAAATTTACCTTTAGGTTGTTCGATTACATTTAGGAAATCACGAAAACTTTTTTAAAATGAATGAAATGTTCAATATGCGACAATTTTTTTTATATAAATACAAAACATACTTACAAAGTAAAATAACGCTTGCAATTAATTCTTGTTCATTTGTAAATTCAAAAAAGTATTAAATAAAAAATAATCATCACCTTTGAATTTAAAAAATTTCATG